CAATGCTTCGCACCTCGCTGCTGACTTGGCAGCCTTGCGCAAAAAACACACACACACACACCCACACCCACACCCACACCCACACGCACACGCACACGCACACCCACACCCACATGCACACGCACACGCACACGCACATGCACATGCGCACACAGACACATACACATACACATACACATACACATACACATACACATACACATACACACACACACATACACATGCACACACACACACACATGCGCACACACATACACATACACACACATACACATACACATACACATACGCATACACATACACATACACACACACACACACACGTACACATACACATACACACACATACACGTACACATACACATACACATACACACACACACACGTACACATACACATACACACACCCACACACCCACACACCCACACACAACAATGTGCAAAGTTGAAGGCGCAGCGCCAAAGCACGGAATGGTCCTGGAGGTGACTACCCAAAATTCCCACGGAGACACTTGTTTGCAAGCTTCCAAGAACAATAAGCACCATGTGGGATATAGCGCGCCGGCGGGTGGCACATGGGTGCTGAGCCTGAGCCAAAGTAAGCCTTCTTTGCTTTCTAGAATGCTTTTGCTGCGGAACTTGTTATTCCTGTATTGCTGGTAGCTGCTGTTTAAGCAAATTGACTTCGCTTCCTGTTGATACGCAAGGAGGATCCAACGTCGCAGATTCTGAACCTGATGGAACCGATAAATCACCAGTATGTATACTTACAATTGTTTTTAAAGGTGACACAGTGCCCGTGATATCTTGTAATCTTCCCTACTGCAGCTACACCGGCCCAGGCCTCGCAACTTTGCCCTCCAATCATCTCCAGTCACATCCAGTCCTGGCACGCCATGAACTTGATGATCTTGGACATTTCAGCTGGCGCTTTGCGTCCAGCAAGCAGCAGGCTTGCGCGGAGGCACGTGGCCCACTCCCTTAAGTCCCTCAACCGAAATCTTTCCAAGCCTTGCCTCGTCGAGTTGGTCCACCTGGCTTCGAAGACGTGGCAGCTCCGCTGCCCTGAAACCCTTGACTGCCGACACTGGCGAGGTGATGGGCCAAAAAAAATCTGAAAACACGAGTTTAGCAAGCAAATGGCCTGAAAGCGTGTTGAAGCAAAAACGTATCGAAACGAAAGATTGCAAAGAAGGAACCTATCGCGGGCGTTCGCAGCTGACGTCTTTTCATTATCATCTCCGACGTCTGTTCATTGTCATCTCTGCACGCGCCAACTGATGGCGCCCTCCTCACTGAAAGAGCACCAAGCAATCACAAGCATCAATCAAAGCGTCAAAAACAAAAGCACCCATCATCAATCACACGCTTTCCATGGTAGCATACCGCGGGAAAGACATCCAAGCCACAACTTCTCTTAGTCAAGCATCAATACCACATGTTAGGGCAAGACAAGGCTTGAAGAAGTGGGCTTGAAGTTGGCTTGAAGGCTCAAACCAATATAACCGTCAATCGCAAGCCTCGCCATCCACCGACATAACACAACAAAGATAGGGACGATGCACGCCGAGGATGGGGGGGGGGGGGGGGCTCGCGTCTCAAAATGCGCCTGGGTATAGTTGACAAAGGCTGGGGCAGGGAATACCGCTGTACACAGCTAAGCGCGGGACTCTGCGCAACACTGTCACAAATTACTCCATCTCAGCGCTGGGCAGGGGCACCAACCGTAGCGCGGAAGGGCAAAGCCTTATGAGTCGAGGAAAACGCTCAGTTAAGCCGCGGCTATCCGTTTAGACCCCGACCACTCGGGGCATTGCAGCGGCGCTGCCAAGATCTCCCGCTCAAGCCTTGGTCGGCCATTTGCCCGCTGATTACCCGGCTCCTATAGGTCCAGCCAACGGTGAACTCTGCTCCGGTTCTCAGCCCAACGCTCTTCCACGCACACGGCTTGCGCACCAAATGGCGGCTGTGCCATCACCTGACTAGACCGCCTCTGAAACCTCTGACAGCGGTACTGCGCTGAGTGGCCCACGAGCTCGTACGCCACCACTCCAAGGCTCCATTTGTCCATTGCTGGGGAGTGCACCGTGCCTCTGCAAGCTACCCAGTACACGTGAACGCTGTCTTGCTTGGACATGTTGGCAACTTTGAGATCCAGCCTCATCCAACAAGACTTCGGGCGCAATGTTCAGAGGCGAGCCCTTGGCCAGTCACTGTGAGCTCAATTAAGTGGCTGCCGTGGTTTGGTGCATCGCAGACCGAAGCTGGAACCGTACGACCACGTCGTACATCTCTTAAATCCCAAGCCTGCGGAAGCAGGGCTGTCCGGCCAACCCGCGTACAAAAACAACATCAATTGGGCGCTCCCTGAAATAAAACGAACTGTACCATCCATACTTTGCTTGCGGCAGAGAACTGGTGTTGGAAAGCACACTCATCCCAAGCCAAAACATAATTTGCAAATTGCACGGTTCCCCTGCGGGCTGGTGAACTCCATGCCTCTGAGAAATCGATGAGTTTGGGATAGCCAGCGCCGTCCAAGAGTATGTTCTCCAACTTCACGTCGGCGTGCACAATGCCTGAACACAAAGTTTGGCCAGTTGTCCTAGAGTCAAAAATCGAATTAGGGTATGAAAAGCAAGAATGGCGATAATAGAAAGAATAGCACGCGTAACGGTAACAACAATAAGAATGGCAAGAAAAGCAAATTCAATGCAACAATAGCCGTGCAGTCCTCAGAAGACTACTACGAATAATAAGAGTGAAGACGATAAGAGTATAAGTGTAAGAGAGCAACAAAAGACTAGCGCGAGCAACACAGTATAGGAAGAGTAACAAGAGGGTAGGATAGGAGGAAACAAGAGTCGTGCGTAGGGAAACGACTTCGATGTGCCTTTCTAGCGTTGTGGTCTGCTAGTAGGGGAACAATTCGCAGCTTGTGTTTTAGGAAAGATCTTTTGCTCTGGTCTTGTTTGATAGATTGTTCTCTTGCTGCTGAATATGTGAGGGCCGGATTTGTGACTTTTGCCAAGGGCGCCGTTGTTTGCTGTTTTTGGGGCTGCATATAGAATTGCGCCCAGCGTATTCTCAGCACGCTTGCCCATGCAACGCATGTGCCTCACAATCCCGGCACAGCGCCATCCCTACAGGTAGCTTGCGACACTGAAAGCCTTCATGCGCTGCGGACAAACAGTTTGGAATTTGTAGCCTGATTTGTACTTCGGCTGACAGGTTTTGTGTGAATACGTGCGTGTGAACGCAAACCTCCTTGCAGTCGCCGCATGTACACCCATGTTGTATGGGCCTTGTGGGGAAGCAGTGCTTCGCGACTCCGATGACTCACTCTCTCTTGCTTGCGGCGCTCTCGCTCGTTCTCCCCTTGTCAACCGCCTCCTCTCCACCCCAATCCTCCACAAAAAAGAGCCCCAACAAAAAGACCCCAAGAAATCAACCTCTCTCCACTAATTAATTAGGGGCGGCGTGGCCCCGACACGTTGGGATGTGTCCGAAACACAACCTAGGGCTAGCGCGGGTTTAAAGTTACGGTTGTTACCCTCGCAACTCGGACGCAATCCAAGGCCTATATAGGGCCTGGCGTTACCAAGACATGTCTGAGGCGCAAGCTCCTTTTGCGCAGCTCTTCCAGCGCTAGCACCATGCAGCTGACATAGAATGAGGCCTCGGGCCAGGGTATGTTCCACACGTGAAGGCCCCGGAACACTCTTCTCCAAACAGAAAAGCATGCTCACAACAGGCTCCTCCTCGGCACTGAGGCGGACGAGGGCGCCGAGGTCAGGTCCAGGAATCTGTTCCAACAGCTGGAACGCCGCCTTCCTGAGCAAAGGTATGGAATGTATAGCAAGTGATGCAACAGGGCCACGCAGTGAAGTGAGCCATGCTGAGCCGATTTCGGAGACACCATGACGTCGAAAAGAGTCACGATGAAAGTGTGCTGGACCTGCTGAAACACGCCACGGCGTGCGCCTACCAAGCTGCAAGCGCTTGCCTCCATGAGGATGCGCACTTCGCGCATCGTCTCTTCCATGGCGTTGGCACGTGCGAATTGAGCGAGGAGACGGAGCTGTTCGGCCCTCGGGCACATCACGCTGATGTCATAGCGTTGCAACGCAAACTCTGAGGATCTTGGCCACTGCTTAGATGCGATCCAGCACTGCTCCCTCCAGATTCACCTGACGCAGCTCAGAACCACGGATGACAAGATGCGTAATCAGCCTTGACGCCCGCCTTCAGAGGAACTATACTCTGGTGGCGACGATGCTGTTGAGGCTCGAAGTATCGTGGCTCAAAACGGCTCTTTCGCGATGTTCTGTCGATGTTCTGTCTACACCAGATGCAACAACTGGTCGATTCGAGTTCGGCATCTTTCCGGCAAGACGGAAGGAATGCAACTTAGCCAACCGCTGCACAAGAGCTGGCACCAGATTCGCAAGCATGTGCGCCAGCCTCAAGGACACGAGCCTACTCCCGGCAGAAGCCTGCAGAAGCCTGTTGTGGCATAGATACAACACATACCCACCTACCTACCTTTATACTTTTGTTACATGCTGCTTGTTCATGGGCACCTGCTGGACTTGGGCTTGCAGCGCGTTCTTCTTTGCTTTGGAAGCTTACATTTTCTAGCGAACAACTTGAGAACGGGTTGAATCCTTGCGCTGCCACCGGCCAGGATGCACAACAGTCTTGGTACAGGTCGGCTCGTATAGACTCAGTTAGAACGCTATGTAGGGCACTGAAAGTCAGCATGACCTCGTGAGACTTTGCAGCCGGTTTTTGTGGGGCGGGAGCAAAGTGAACCCCAACAGTAACAATACGTATGCGCAACTCACTGCACATAATATTTCCAGTGTGCGCCTGTACACAGCTGCATAGCGAAGGCAAAAGGCCAGGTTTTGTCGTGAAAAGTCCGCTCAACCGTCAATGCCTTGTTCGAACCTAATGACGCGGAAGAGCGAAATGATGTTTACAAGCAGGGTCAACCT